AAAATTTTTCATTCGTTTTCCAACGCAAAGTGTCGTTTTCCGAAACCCCTTTTTTATTTCATAAACTAAGGAATATCAGAGGTAGCAAAGCACATTTCCCTAGTCCAATAACCCCCTCGTGCCTTTGCTATATTTAATAACAATAGCAGGAAAATTGCTACTGCAGGCTATCATCACAAAACTTGCGTGGGGCAGAGCACGCGACCCCCACCAGCCAAAACAAGCTGAACCATCGGTAAACTTTAATTTCTTCACTATAAGATCGAATATACTTCAAATCATAACCTTATCAATGTTGGTATAGGATTATTCAACATTATTAAATTTTACAATCGACACCACCTTTATATGTAGACTGGCAAAGTTTATTTTTGCATAAACAAAAGTCAGAACTTGACTGTTGTTGTGTCCGCTAAAAGACAATTTTAAAGCGCATGCGCTCGTTTTGGAGGGAAAAACGGCGTACACAGTGTTGTCATAGCAATGACGTATACTGCACCTCAATTCTTTTGTTCGCGGCAACTTTTTATGAAGTACCATAGTGTGAATCGCTTTTATCGATAAATGAAGTGGCCGTGTGTTCACATTGTAAACATTCGAGGTTGTTGCCAGTGCACAAAGCTTTGTTGCGATTGAACCTGTCAAGGTTTATTTACATCTGTGGTAGGTAAATAAATGTTCCTTTTTATTAGTGTCTGTGCACGCTTCAGGTTTAACAACAATTAGAGCAAAGGTAGGTAGCTATTGACGTTTCGTTCGCTTTATTTATAACTTCTTTTAACACTTATTAACACTGGCTGTTAATCGTCAGCGTGCAATAAAAACAATGCAGAAAAAAGAGGTCGCCAAAATCTTTATTTCGAAATTTAAATTGCAATGCAAATCCATTTAAGCATTGATAATAAAATGCCATCACATCATTTCAAATACTTATTTAAAGAGTCAGTGCTAAAAATGGAAGATGGCAATGAAAAAAATAATGTCTAAGCTTCGTGCCGTACAAATTAAGATACCAAGTGGCTACATACCACAATCACCCAGACCCGTGGAAAGAAAATAATCTTTTCCGTATTGACCCTGCTGTTAATCGAACCTGAACAAAAGATGGAGGATGACATCATCTTGAAACAAATTTCAAATTATTTGAAGTTTCTAATTTTAATGCAATTCCTTGGCTACAAACTTCGTCCCTCAGTATAAATATCAAAATGAGCTAGCATCACATAATAATATACGCTATGTAGCAACCATCCTTTTTAGTCCAAACTCCGTACGAAGAATTAATTACGTGCTAATTACTAACCTCCTGCGCAACGCCAGGTACTGGTTCCCGTTTGTTTATGGCCGGTTAAACTGTTAGATGTATCGTGGGACTAGTCTTTCATGTGGGTAGACAACTTTCCTTATGGTTTATGAGACGTGTAATCTGTGGTTAACCGTGTCGATTCCTGAATTAAATTACATGCAAAATATTAAGTGCACCCGGATTCTTTGACTACCTAGAAGTTGTGTCCAATTTCTAGGTAGCCAATGAAATCTATTTTTCCTCATTTACCAAGCTTTTTACTATGATAACAGAATAGAAATTTGGTGAGTTATTCGTTATAGATAAAAACCTTGGGTTTGATTTTCATAAATATTAAATCCGGAGTCACTTTCCTGTTCAGCGCGGTCCACTTTCCAATGTCAATTAAAACAATTATCTGAATTCATATTGTGGTTGTCCAAACGAATTAATATAATTGATACTTTCTCTTTTAATTGTATAATGATCTTTATTAAAATTCTTATGTCGCTACAAAAAAAAACACAACATTTATGAATATGGTAAATATACATTTTAAATTGATTCATACTTTTCTGGAAATTATATATTTATAAAGTATACGTCGACGCTTTTTTAAACATGCTGTTAGTGAATTTCAGATTATTTTTCAAGAGCAATCTACAAGTCTCCATCTGTCCATCTCCTTTTACCATTTGAATGTCGGCCGAACGCTAACTCTTCTCTCTATTGAGCTTTATCGCTATGGAAAAATAAATAATACATAATAATCAAATTACTAGTATGTGCTGCTTAGGGCTGATATATATTCACCTCGTCATCATTATATACAGTTGGTGCATAAGCCAGCAAACCATATATCTAAGTCTTATGCTCAAAACTAAATTAAATGCTCAATTCAGAAACCGGGTGTTAAGGTCTTAGCAATAAGCATTGTGTAATTAAACAACATTTTGTCTTTTTCACTCGATCTGAATGTCACGTGAGTAGGACAGGTACAGCTATACTGTTATGTTGAAAAACTGTCTGGAACTCGTATATCATAAAACTTAATATGTCTTTTTTTGTTGCGAAAACGAAATTGATAAAATAAAATACTCTGAATATAAATTATTTATTATTAGAGGCATACGTATTATTCTGATTCTATGGTGTATCTTCGACTGGTTAGCGCTGATCATCTGCGTATTAGATACTTATCTATAGAGAATATTACGTGTGTCTTGTCTGTGGCCGATGTCAGGTCCCGTAACACTGTCTCGCCAGATAGGAAACTGGCGCCAATAAAATATGAATCATGAGTTATTATAGTTTATTGCGCTTTCATTTGACATCATTCATTTCGCTGATTACGATAAAAATATATTTATTTATTAGTCGGAAATGGATCATTATGCTGATTTTCAAAGAAATACTTTTTCGACACACTATGTTTCTTAAGAATTATAATAAAGTCAATATTTACAATTTGATAAATGTAGCTTGGATTTTTTTTTTGATACAGGGAATATGCGTTAGGCCCATTCTCCCGCTGGGGGCAGGCCTTACCCACAAAAACCTGCCCTAGATATACTCTCAATCAGAGGTGAACCTATGGAATATCTAGTTTAGAACTTATTGTTTTATTTAAGAAAAATGAAAAACGGAAGTTATTTTGGCGGTCTATAACTTCATAGTCCGTTAATTTTGAATATTGCTGGAGTACATGCCTTCTTTTTGGATGCAATCGAATTGCTTTGAATAGGCAGAATAGGCCTCGACCACCACTATTAGGAGCCTAATTGCGGATTCGTGGGTATTTACGACTGCAGATGCAGCGGGAATCGACAGCGTAAAAAATGTTGGCCACAAACAAATGTCACAAAAATTGGTCACCCGTCCCATGACCGACCTTTGAAAAAGTTGCTTGACTTTTATTATTGCAGACCGAACGCGCCAACCACTGCTAATAGTTTATATACCTCACTCGCCAACTAGTAATTTTGCTAATAGGTAAACTTCGTTCATTAGCAAAATGTTTGTAAATAGTTGTATTGTAATTGGAAGCTACAATGCCTACCATACACGTTGTTACGTTTACCTCTCATGAATAAAACATTACATATCGGTGTCTCGTTACATAACGGTCTGTATTTTATGTGGTATTTTATAAATCATCACGGCTATTTGAATATTCTATTGTTCTTGAATGGTGGTTATGAATATTCTTTAATATATTTACCTAGGTAGTGTATTTATTACCTACTTGTTGGTATAAAATAAATAAACAAGACAACATGATCATAAACTAAATCAGTATTTAAAGCACTTATATTATACCACTATTTTAAGGAGTTATTATAAGTGGCAGTTAATAATGTGTGGTTTATTAAAGTCAGTCAGAGATATATCTATAGGTAACTGTTTTCTAATAAGGATTTAAAATAATTTCCGAAATCAAACTAGGTGTCGCTACGGTACTTTCTTGGTTTTTCCATGACAACTCTTTCGGTTTTCTTTCATGTATAAAAGTAAATTAATTTTCAAAACACGATAAACAACTCATATTCTATTTGTACTTTTTCTTATTTGTTTTGATATTTCAATTTCAATTTTTTTGTTATGTTGGTTATAAGGAACGGAAATGACTATCTTTGCTCCATTCGTTTTCTGCAAAAATCAACTTTTGGTAAAGTCACTATCTAGTGAGGTTCTTTTTCAGTGCTTTCTTTTTTTTCGTAAAATATAAATGTAATAAGATCAGTTAAATATATAAAATTAGTTTTTTGCACAAGCAGTGACTACTTAGCTACTAATATAATAATAAAAAAAATATTCAGTAGCACTTGCTATCAATGGATGTAAATAATTTTTATTGTACATAGATTAGTTTTACTAATTAAATTGGATTTACCTTTACAGTGATGCCCTCATACGAGAAAATAAGCGCGCGATGAAAGTAGTAGGCTGACTACGTTTACTACCAAGTTCCGCGGATCTTTAATAGATGGCGCCATACTTAATAATGAGTTAATTTCTTTTATTTAAATTATGTGATATATAGTGCAAATAGTGTAATCGATTGTTTGACTATACCACGGCATGATTTGTTTAGATACCACTTGTAATTAATAAAATTTGCTAATTTCAATTTAATATGTTTAATTAGGTAATAATAGGTTTTTTCTAAATTAAACCTCATATTTTACTGGTGGTCATTAAAAGTAATAAAATATTTAAAGCAAGCAAACAAACAACCTACCGACCTCTTTGATTAAAATCGTAAGTAGGGTCAATAATAATCAAATAATGTTACCTACCTATAAACATTAATTAAAATACTACTATAGGCAGGTATGTAAATAAATTGATAGTAAATATCGTAACCAGTATACCTACTTACTAACTTTTGAAAACATTGAAATACTCGGTGTTATCTATATAGGTTCAAAATTTATCGACTGTAGTTCTATTTATCTTATTATAGTTATTATAATAAAAAGAACATTGTCTTTAGTACCTACCGACATTTTCTCTTATATTTTATATTTTTGCGCTACTAGGCCTAAAGCTAGGAAGGGAAAGTCAATAATTAGAACAAAATACTCTTCTGGCCATCCTGACACTAATATAACTACAACCAAGTAGGTACTAACTTTAGACCTCATTTAATAATATGACAGTTTAAGTATTACAGTATGACTCATAATTAATAATGTTTATACTTTGTTACCAGATTGGCGCGCCCCGATGATGGACGAATCGGAGGCGGCTCGGCGTCGCGCGCCGGCTCCTCCGCCGCGGCAGGCCGTCCGCCCTCCCGAGCCTAGGCCGCGACATATGCCCCCACCACAACGGTTTGGTCCCGACTTACCCGCTGCCCTACGATCAGGCCCCGACCTCCCAGCTCCTCCGCGTCTCATTCGCCCTTCTGAACACCTAGCTATCGTGGAACGCGCGATGGAACGACGGCCTGTACCGTTGGTCCCCACTGTGATGGTGGTGCACGGCCCTCGCCCTTCCCTCCCTCCCCCTCCGCCGATTCACCGCCAGGTCTTGCCCCCGCCGATGAGAATGCCAGCTCCGGTGCCTCACCCCGTGATGAGGTTACCGCAGCCAAGGAAAGATATTAAGGTAAGTAATTTTTTTATGAAAATTTAAGCTCTCCTGAATTTCCTTGTGTATACCGTATGTGGAAAGGCACATGCAAAACAAAATTTTGCTCATACAAACCTAAATATAATAATAAAATTGAAATTGAAGTAATTTTATTTCGATATAATAATTCTGTGTAGGTAAGTAAGTTAAACAAAATACAAAAATGTAGGTACATGTAAACTCATCCCATATGGATCCATAAACATTTGTAATTAATCTTTAAATGAATATAAACTAATAATAATAACTTAATAATAATAACTTTATTTCCAATAACATGACAATATTCTTTGAGCCCTGTCTCCCATACTAGTTTGAACTGTATAATGGGAGCCAGTGCCTTCCTAATTACTGTTACAATTCAATATTGGAGGTGGTCTACCAGAATAATAAATACAGAAGGTTATTATTAACATAAGTTAGCCAAAATGTTTTACCAAAACCAAGAATTATTTGAAACAAGTGTCATATACATATCAAACACCTACGAGCCAAAAAAACAAAAAAATAAAATAAAATATAATAGTATTATTTAGTTTATATTCTTCCTCATCATTCAATTATTTCATTGCTACAACAAATTTAAAATTAGTTTCTCACACATATCATAATCCATCGTGTTTAACCATTCTTTTAACATTGTTTTTATTTTATAGTTGGACGTTGTGACTATATTTGGCATATTATTGATTATTGCATTATAAAAACGTGGTGCAAGACTGTTAAAGTTTCTTTTAGCAAATGAACTTTTAACCGTTTGAATAGGGAATTTGATCTTTCGTCTATGACCTCTTGGTGCAAGATTAATTTTCGGAGCAACCGATCTATGATATAACCGTAAGCAATTGTATATGAACATTTTACGAACCGATAGTACATCGGCGTGCTCATACACCATTTTTGTAGGATAACGATAAGGAAGTGACAATATCACCTTTATGACGGCTCTTTGTGCTCTTTCTAGTTCAATTAAATGGTTTTTGGCTGCGCCACCCCAAGAACATATGCAATATTCTATAAGACACTGACAGAGAGCTTTATAGGTTTGTATTAGTAGATCTTTTTTAGCAACATTCCTCAGATTTCTAAAAATAAAAATAAGTTTTCTGATTTTCTTTGACACGTAAGTTATATGTGCATTCCATCTCAAATGTTCGTCGACTATCACCCCAAGATACTTTAACTAAAGTTTACCACTATAATTTTAAAATAATAATTATATTTAGACACTAAGAAATCACATGACAAACTGAAAACAAAGACTAACTGATTAATATTGATGATGTTCCTGACGGAGTAATTTTAAATTACGAAATAAAGAAAGGATCATAAATGAAATATATAATTTTAGACTATTGACATAATTATTTTGACAAATTTAGAATGCAAGCATAGATGATGCACCCATTAGAGTGCTAGGTAAGCTCTAAATCACGGTGATATACTATATATATTTTTGTTTATTTCATTCGCTGTTAACTCTTTATAACCTTGACTTTTATCGTGAACTTGAATTAAATGATGGATGCCAACTTTCAAAATTTTAACCTCATGACCGATACGTTTCTCCGCACTTCTGCTCTTTGATAGATTTAATTATGAATTTAAAACAATAGAGGGCTTTATTTTAGGAATTTTTGAACGGTGACGTGTTTAACCAACGTTTAATATAACAAAAACCATTTGTTTTTTTTATGGTCATCATAACACAAAATATGTCGCGTAACGCGGTAGCTAGTAGCTTTCCAGTTGAAGAACTAAATTGTCTCTTGTTCCATAAATAGAAAATATGTGCAACGTGACAGATTTGGTTCACAATGACTCTAAAAATAGTAACAACTCTAAAGTAATGACTTTAATGTACTTTTCCAAGTAATCAAAAAGCTTTAACAGTAATAGTTTTCCTCAACAAAAGACCATTGGAGATCCTTCCAAAGTTTTTGAGTTTTGGCGACACTCCAAACGTGTAATGATATTCAATTCATTATGATGTTTCTTAAGCAATTACACAAACAAAACTAAAAGTTGCTCATCATGCAAACTACAATGAACTGTAGGTGTCACTTTCTTCGATCGTATTATCTAAATGGTAATCGACAGATGATGCAGCAAATCGAATCGGTCGATGCGAAAGCGATACGTGAATCATTGCGGGACAATATAGTATTGTTCGTTTGGCGCCACGCAATATACTTGTCTCATAATCTGGTTTACCGAGCATCGATTCATTGACGAATTTCTCATTCTGTCGATATTTACCTTGAATAATCCGTACACTCTAATAAATACCAAAACGGGCAGAATTAAATCTCGGTGAATGGATAGAGTTTCATTCAAGTTTACCAATTAACTCATTAATTATGAAACACGTTGAGTCATCGATGCTTGAATCGGCGCCGAATTCTATTTTTGTAAATTTACAGCATATATTGGTATTGGTTATAATAATGAAGGTCAAAAGTAGCCTTATCATTGACAGTTATTAAGGTTAAAAATATTTAAAAGTTGTTATGTTTCATCGTGTGCTACTAATTAATTCATTTCTTAAAGTAATCTGAATAAAAACTGTAATTAATGGCAAAGTAAACATGTGAAAGCATCCGCAATATTATCAGCTGTCGTGAAGTCGCCGAAACGACTGACCCAATTTAGAGAGCAGACAGGGCGGAGTCGAGCCTTGACCAGTTATTGTCCTCCGCTGTCATCCGGTTCAAAAAGAAAGCTCCTAGTGAGCGATGACGTTATATCTGCACAAATAGAAAACACCAAAAAATACTTTTAACATTTCCTATTATCCGCGCAGTAAAAATTATGAGTCCTAATATTAAGACCAAATTTAGCAAAATTTTCATCAAGTCATTCAGTGGGTACAGAATAAATAAATATAATCCGATTATGAAAATTCTTTCATCTATGGGACATTATACGTGGTTGTGATTTACGTGGGCAAAGTCATGCAAAAACAGCTAGTATTTGGAAAATTAATCGTACATTAAGGGTTGATGCATTTATGATGGACAATGCGTCACGTCCGTCGGGCACAGAACGTCAGAACTGTCAAATATATGATTAGACATCCAGTCTTGATGACTCGTCAGATAATCTGTGTACTACTAAGGCATCGTCAGATTTATGCCGACCTTTATTTCAATTATTTCAATCGCTTGTCGCTTTGGCTTGCACCGATTTTTATGGATCATTATTATCTTTATCTTGTCCGATTTCACCGAGACCCAAATTGGTTTATGTGGACTTATGGCGCAATAAAAAACCTCGAATATACTCATAATCTGATATTTATTACAATTTTATCAATATGTCATTTATAAATCTTTGTTTGCGGATATGGGAATCTATAAAGTTTTATCAAAATTATATTAGCCACATCTTTTTGTGTGACTATTTTTTTTTCATAATTCTGTAATCGTGGCTTAAAATTGGACTCTATTTAATTTCGAAATAAAAACAGATAGAAACTACAATGAGCCTAATTTAAATGTTGAAACATTTTTAGGTCACGCTTGTTGCGAGACTCGTTTATGGACAATAGATATCGCACTATCATCTCGCCCATGAATTCATTACAATGTTCTATTGGTTTTTAATGTGACCCACATAAGGGCCCATACTAATGAGTTGCCCCACTTATACATCTGATCTTGATTGAGTACCGGAGCAACTCTGCGTTCGACAGGCAATTGGCCACAAATATGAAAGAGATTGTTTGTCTTGATTTTATTGCTCTATGATTGTTCAGAACAAGAAGGGAAGCCGTAACGGTTGGTACAAGATTGTTGTGTTTAAACTATGTTTGGTTTAGAGCGCTCAATATTTTTATTCACTTTCTCTGATGTTTCGTTTGTTTCGTAATCGGATTTACTTTTGTCATTTAATATTTGCTTTTACTAAAAGAGAATGAAAGTCTTCATAAGTTTCATTTTCAATATCGTCTTGTCCATAATACTTATTAGTTATTTTATCGCTTTTATTTTACGCTGTGAAAGGTATAGGTAATTTAAATGACAAGTTTTTACTTATAAGAAAGAAGAACCGTTTAAACGTTAGAAGAAACCATGTTTTAGCTAACTCTACCAGCTTTAATGCTTGGTTATTATAAGTTATATTACTTAAAGTCTAATTGAAGAAAGTACAAATTGATTATCGCAGCCATATTTAAAACGACCAATAATTCAATTACGTGTTTAAACTATCTATGATTCTAATATCGAAGATATCTTTGGCGTGACTCGTTTTAAACTTTCGAAGATTTGAAAATGTCAATGGGGTCTGTGTGTAGCTATATTTTTGCAAAGTACTTTGAAGAAATGTTTATGTATCGTAGAATTTTCGCGTATCCATCATGTGTAACGGAACAAAACGAAAATATTTCAAACTTGTTTGCTCCGTATTGATGTCATGTGTGTTTATTAACATTCAAATATAACTTTGATAATTTAAATGAAGCATATCAGATGCAGGTCGTGAATGCGTGGGTGACGAATTCAATTCTTTGCTATCCGATAGATTGTCACTATTGATGGTTTAAATCGACTTGTTAACATTAGCTAGGTTATTGAACTTTTAATTGTGTATTGTTGCACAAGGAGTACACCCACGTGCTGTCCCGACCTGAACTGCTTTAGTAACTGCATCGTCGAGTGCAGTTATTTCTCAATCGATTTCAGCTGGAAGTTAATTGTTTCAATTGCTGCAAGCAACATTCGTTTTCTCATTTGAAATGTTTTATGGCTTGTAACTGATTGTTAACCTACTGTATTTTACAATCATATATCTGCAAACATAATTTATATTGGAAATAAACCTAGAAGAGAATCTGAAACAAGAATGAAGGAAGTGGAAAAACCATTTCAAAATAACATAGGTTCAGTGGCGAAAGCATTCGTAGAAAGGCGCCGAATCGCAGACGTGCAATTGAAAAATAGCTTATTACCTCCGCCCAGCGCGCAGGCACGGTAGAAAGTGCATCGAGATCTTTGTAATTCCTTTGGCAATAATTCGTCGTTGCTGACGGCTCGCAGCGCTACAGGCGTGCTAGTTATGATTGCATTCTACTTAATCCTAGTTTATTTAAGTGTAGGTACTACTTCTATAGGTGGCACAAATCAAAACATGAAATCATCAATAAGCATACTGTTTAGTATTGTTATTTTATCAGAAGCTCACATAAATCAGCGGCATGTTGTTAATACAACGTTGAAACATATTAGCTCTTATCGTACGTAAGTGTCGGCTCGCGCCGTATAAATTAACTATAATGTTTACGCGACCACTTTCCAATGTCAACGCACAATTGCCGCCCACACTGCGCAAGCGCACGACTGAGTGACAGGCGCGCTGAAAAGTACGCGTTTCCATTTTTCTACACGGCACGATAAAAACTTTTACACAGAAAGTATTTAAAAGTAGTTTTAGAGAAAATAAGATGTCGCTACGTTCTTTGAAATATATAAAAGTAATGAAAGGAAATTGAGTGTATAAAATTAATAATAAGTCATCGTGTTTGTCATTTTGACGTTCTAGTTTCCAGTCAAGAATTATGTCGAGGATAGTATCGCCATTTAGTGAAATTAATTTCAGTGGTTTCTCTTGTTTAATGCATCATTAAATATAAGTTTTTTCCATGGTCTTATTCCTCAGGGAGACAAAATTAGTTATGGTTAAGTGCTCATATGTATTTGCTTTGAATATAGTGGTATAATACGTATTTTTCATTATATTCTAAATCTTAGTATATTGTCTGGAATATACTAAGATTTAGGAATTCGTGTAATTCCTTAAAGGTTTGAAATCAGCTTTTATCATAGTAAATCTAGAA